TTTAAAGTGTTTCATAGTGCTCACTGAACTTTGTCTGTTTACACTCCATCCATTACCCTTAAAAATTCGTTACCTTATTTGTTGACTTGGGAGGTTATTGTTATATCCAAAAATTATGTGGCATACGCATGACGGAGGGGGTCTCACATTGGCCAACGTGGCATCGTTTATTTGACAGCTTATATTTCGAAGTCTGACCTGCATATAAATAGTACGATTCAGACTTTGGGGACTATTGTTATACATATAAATTATTGCATATTGGGCCTTACTATTGGCCTTTGACGAGGCCCATTAATGCACTCAACCCTCTCCATTATATATATATATGTGGTTTCATTTCATTCCAAGGTAAGTCATGCTAACTTGAACCAAATTCCCTCTCTCGTCTCTTGCACTTTTTATTTTCTTTCTGTCTCACCATTGATTTGACCGTCGGAGTGCAAACGATCACCGGACCTGTTTCTCTACCGATGACCTTTGCCTCCTAAAATGGTGCTCTGTGTGCAGGTGATGAGGGAACGAGGTTGGGATTCTATTGGCATATATTTTGAGGTCAATAGGTGGTGAGGCTTCCAAAAATATTTCTCACATAATTAAGGCTTTCAAATTAGGATTTTGCTATTTGTACATAAAAAATGTACATAATGAATTTCAATAAAGGTATATCTAAGATTAGATATGCTATTCCAACTTCTTGACCTCAATCACAGGCGGACCCACATGGGGTCATGTGGGGTCAAATGACCCCACAAAATTTTGCCCTTTTTTTTTTTTACAATCTACTTTGATGCACTCGTCGGGATGTCAAATGAAATCAAAATATTGCATTCTTAATTCGACCCCACAAAATTTTTCCCTTTTTTTTTTTACAATCTACTTTGATGCACTCGTCAGGATGTCAAATGAAATCAAAATATTGCATTCTTAATACAATTTCAAAGAGCTCATGACCTAGTTTTTCACTCATTAATGACATGCGAAGTGGTTAATTATAGCAAAAGTTATGACATGTTAAAGTAGGCAGTTTGAAACTAATATTTTGAAAATTTCGATAATATCCTAACTTTAAAAATTTGTTTGCATCATGTGCTATCTGAATCTACAAATCGTCTATGCTATATAAAAGTTTGATTTGAAAACTATATCATTTTCATATCGAATGGTCCAAACGGATATCGAAAATAGTTAAATATGTATCAAACGTACGCCTCAAAAAAGACGTCTAACTCGTTTTTTCTTTTAAAAAAATCAATTAATTATTATTTTTACACAATACATTTTTCAATATAATTCATATCGTTTCATTCGGAAGTTTTACACGAAATATGACGTAAATTTTTTAGGGTTGTTACGGATTAAATGCAATTTGAATTACTTTCGAATTATATATGTTTGCTTTAAATTTGAATTTTATTTATTTCCTGAACTAAACTTGAATTTTATTTCAATTGATTTAATTTCTATATTCAATTTAATTTACTCAATGTTAGCTCAGCATTTACCAATGAAATGATAAACAAAATTATACAAGTAGCAAAATTTATTTAATAATATTAATAATGATGTGATTATATGACGTTTTCGAAGTGTCAAAATACATATTGACTTATTTTTATTGATATTATGTTGTTTATTAAAAAAATTATTTTTAAAATTTTGACCCCACAATACTAAACGTTTGGGTCCGCCCCTGACCTCAATGCCTTTTTGACACAAAACACATTATTTATTCTTATCAAATAGGAAAATGCCAATGTGTAATGTGTTGAGGTATAGAAAATTTATTCAGAAATTGGAATAGGAAAACCCGACTCATATATATCGTTTAATTTTACATTTTTGTTATATATAGAAATCGTGCTCAGCCCCCTTATTATTATTATTATTATTATTATTATTATTATTATTATTATTATTATTACTACTACTACTACTTTGAAGTCGATTCTGTGACACACAATTGAGTGTTTGTAAGCTAACATTGAAGTTAACTCAAATTTATTTTGTTATTTTGTTGTCTCAAAGGTTGTTACCACAACCTAGTAAAGCACATTAGTTTAGCTTATTTAATTGTTTTAAATGTCTTCAAAGATGATCAGGAACGTTTGAGGTGAAATCGGGGCCTCTTGCATTAAAACTACATTTGCCCATGTTATATATGATGCCATTTTCATCAATTTCGTGTCTGTTTTTCTTTATGCCTTCTTGTATGAGTCTAAATTTATGACATTGTATTTCGGTTATATTTAGAAATCAAGCTCAATCTAAAATTATTATTTTGAGGTTGATATAATGACACGCGATTGATTATACTAACGTTGAAGTTTATTCAAAATTTATTAGATTCATTAATACAAGAAAGTGAAATACAATACCTTATCTCTATTTAATATTTTTAGATATTTATAAAGATAATTGAGGATGTCTGGACTGAAATCAGGGTCCTATCTTAAAAATAAAATATTAATAAAAAAAAAAAAAAAAAAAAAACCCCTTCTCGGTTTAAAATGACGAGGGGCCACTTTCACCACTTTCGCGAGTTAAGTACCCAAATAGTCACTGAACTTAGCCACAAGTTCTCAGGGGGTCACTAAACTTCAAAATTTCCATAAATAGTCGTTGAGTTTTGCCAAAAGTTTCTAAGAGGTCATCAAATTTCAAAACTTCTCTAAATCATCACTGAATTTTGTAAAAAGGTCCTAGGAGATCACTCAACTTTGCAAATTGGAACCCCATACATCACTGGTTTAATAACCCCTAGGAACTTTTTTCAAAATTTAGTGATCATTTAGGTTAAGTTTTGAAGTCGGTTACCTCTTGGGAACTTTTGGCAAAGTTCAATGAATATTTTGGAAAGTTTTAAAGTTTGGTGACCTCCTAAGAACTTTTGGCAAAATTCAGTGACTATTTGGAAAATTAACTCCCAATTTCATTGTATTTTTACTTTATTTAGACAAAAATTAATATTCTACTTAAAGCTAAACTAATAGGGAATAATATCACACAACAAAAAAATTGTTGTTTAATATAATTCTTGACTGATAATGCAAAGAAATAAGATGAAAATGGGGTTCATATTGTGGTTTTGAAGAATGAAGGGATAATAGTAATGAATTGAATGGATTTAGGACTTTTAGGAAGGATAATTTAGAGATATGAAGTAAATGGAAATTTGGACTTTTAACATTTAATATAGGACCTCATAACTTTTAACATTATAAGTGGGGGCCTTTTAACTAAAAACTTTGGTTGACGAGGCTTTTTAACCACATTCCCCACTGAATAGTGATGTTGCAGTCAGGCGAGATGACTGTGCAATTAGAGGAAATGACGGGCTTATACCCAATGGATACTGCTGAAGCTATTTTTTTTGGGGACTGATCCTAACAAAAGAATGCAATTTTCGGAGTTAATTATTTCAATAATCACCCAACATATATTATGTTCACGGTTTACTCACGAAATTTTAAAATGTTTTATAGTGCCTATTGGACTTTGTCTATTTGCACTCCATCCATCACCCTTAAAAATTCGTTACCTTATTTTTTGACGTATGAAAATCTGACGTAGCAAATTACGACCGTTAAAAAAATTACAACTCAATCAAATCATTGTTTTAGTATTCATACAACTTGCACTAGGTCATAGTTGACTTATCGAACTTCAAGATGCTTCTCGATGGTCACTCATCTTTAAGATGTTGCATTTCATCTATCATCTACCATATTTTGTTCATTTTGTTGCTAATTTATTATACGAAAATTTCACAAATAAGTACAATCATTAAAAAAAAAAAAAAATTACAACTCAACCAAATGATCAACTCACAAAAATCACTATATTTTGAAACCTGACTTCCATGCTCCATGGACTTCACTAAAAATCCTACTTTTTTATGTGTGTTGTGTGTATGTGTGTGTATATTGTGTTTGTTAGGTAAAGATCAATAAAATTGCTGAAATTAGAGACAATGAATGAGAAAATGGTGAAATATAGACAAATAATGATCAAAATACAAACGATGATTGAAAATCTCATATGATTAATTAGATGCAATTAAAAGTTAGAAGGGTGAAATTTAGATAAAGTATTTTCGCAAATCAATTTTCAATCGAACAAGTTATGCTTCAAATTTTCAATTTTAGATTGAATCCTATTTTTTCCACAGCAAATGTTCGAATCGAAAAAATGATATTTCTAAAAGAATCACTGGGGATGCTTTATTGGGTTTTAAAAAGTTTATGGGGCCGTGGAAATCACATTTCATATATGATGATTTTGGTGAGTTGATAGTTTTCTTGATTGTATTTTTTTTTTTTTTTTTTTAACATTTGTAACTTACCACATGGAATTTCTATGTGAACGTTCGAAACGAAGTGAACGAAAAATGGCGGATAATGGATGGAATGCAACATCTTAAAGATAAGTGACAATCAAGAAATATTTTGAAGCTCGATGAGTAAACTCTGACCTAGTGTAAGTTGGATGAGTAATGAAACAATTATTTGACTTAATTGTAATTTTTTTAACAATTGTAACTTGCCATGTTAGATTTCCATTAGGCAAGTTAGCGAATGAGCTAAAAGACTTTTGAGGGTGATAGACGGAGTGCAAACGAACAAAGTCCAGTGGGGACTGTGAAATATTTTGAAGTTTAGTGAGTAAACTATGACCATCGTATAAATTAAGCGATTATTCAAACAATTAACTCCAATTTTCGTATTGACATGGTGGAGAGTGACTCTATCCCAGTGGTGGCACAGGCACAAAGCCTCAATTTTCCATACGCCCCAAATGAAGTTTGTGCTAAGTGAAATTCTTTCATTGTTTCTGGTGTCGGTTGTGGTTCTTGTTTATTCAAATTCCAGGGCTAAAATTTCCGTGTCTTTTCACGAAAACTGGAAATACTTTCATGGATCACAATATCAAATCTGAGGATTGGAACTAATCCCATCAACTCATTTTCCAACCATAAGAAAACTGAGACGCAACAAATGGATATGAAATTTGTTCTCTTATCATACAACCAAAAAAAATTTATATTACTATAACACAAAAATGTACTATTCACAAACTAATTGTAGTTCAGCATTATGTGATATTATAGCTGAATATACAAGAAAAAGGAGAGATTTTCGGAATTTTGAATGCCACCAGACAGTGACTGAGCCTCAAGAAGGAAGTTGATTCTATCAGAAACTAAGTTCATGATCTGAAACCAAGGGGGGTGTTATGGCATCACATATTGCTGCAAATGTTTCGTTCTTCTCTTGTTCTTCAACTTACGGAATGCACATGATTCAATTTGTCTGATTCTTTCTCGGCTGACACCCATCAGCTCCCCAATTTCTTGCAATGTCTTCATCCTACCATCCCCTAGGCCAAACCTCCATCTAATCACCTGCTTTTCCCTCAGGTTTAGAGTATCCAGAACCTTGGCTAAGTCCTGTTTCATAAATTCTTTCATAAGCACGTCTTCGGATGTTTCTGCTTCAGGATCTGCAATCACTTCCTGAAATGAAAAAACCAGACAAGGTGAGAATGGAAATGAGTAATGGCAAGACAATGTGAACTTGTATTTTTAATATGTATACAGGACTCACAGAAGGTTTGAGATCCTGGTTTATCCCAATTTTTTGATCAAGCGATCTTGGAGCTTTAGGGATCAACAGCACTGAACTGAGCCTCTTCATTGAGAGTCCAGTTGCCTCTGCAACTTCATCATCATCAGGTTGTCTACCATTTTCATTAAATAGTTGCTTTCTTGCTTCCTTCACTCTATAAGTTGCCTCGACCATGTGAAACTGTTATGTGCAGACAAAATTACGATTAAATTGTATACATCCAAATGGAACAACAGAAGTGTTTCTGAGAATGTTGAGTGACATCTTCCTTTGCAGCACAAGAAAAATGGAAAATGAAGTCTGCTTGGAAATAAATTAATTTTGCAGGAATTTTACCGGCAATCGAATGGTTCTGGATTGATCAGAAAGAGACTTACGAACTGCCTGCTTTATCCACCAGTGAGCATAGGTGGAGAATTTAAACCCTTTTGAAGCATCGAATTTCTCTGCACCTCTCACTAGGCCTCGGCATCCTTCCTGAGGAAAAAGTGTTAAGAATATACTGATAGAAAGGAATCAAACATCAGACTATCAATTTCTTGGATTTTCTTGCATCGAACACCTTGAGTTAGATAATCAGAAGCAACAAAGAAATGATTACCTGAACCAAATCTTGGAGGTTCATCCCAACTCCCTGATAATTTTTTGCAATAGAAATCACAAGCCGTATATTGCTCTTAATCATTTTATCTTTGCAAATAATGCCATAATTTAAACGCTCCCTCAAGGTTTTCTGATCAACGCCAGCAGCAGCAGCCCATTGAGCAAAAGTAAGCTGGTCCCCATAACGTTCTCTGAGCTCCTCCTGGAGTCTTTCCAATTTTAGTAGGTCCTGCATTCATGATGGGTCTTTTAGAGTTAAAAAAAATAGGCAAAAAGATTTGAAAGTGTCAGCACAAGATGGAGCAGCCAAACAGGGATGAGGGAGAAGGAAGAAAGGAGAACGCACAAGATCTCTATCTCCAGGAATTTATGAAGTGTATATAGGCTAATATTTGCCAGTGATAACTAAGAATAGTTTCCCCCAGTACTGAAGAAAGCAATAACAGGCCCTATAACATGAATGCTACATGGGAATTGAATTCCATCAATTCTGGAAGCATATTTATACCATTTAACCAAAAAAAAAAAAAAAATTCAATAGAAATCTCCCAGAGCGATGTTAAAATTTGTAATTATCCTGAGATGGAAAAGAAATATTGAAATATTACGTTTCCATGTTATAACAGGAAAGCTTTGAATTGACGAGGGTGCGATTTATTCAGTTCCCTATAACATGAATGCTACATGGGAATTGAATTCCATCAATTCTGGAAGCATATTTATACCATTTAACCAAAAAAAAAAAAAAAAATTCAATAAAAATCCCCCAGAGCGATGTTAAAATTTGTAATTATCCTGAGATGGAAAAGAAATATTGAAATATTACGTTTCCATGTTATAACAGGAAAGCTTTGAATTGACGAGGGTGCGATTTATTCAGTTCCTTTTTTTTTTTTAATTATTTGGAAAGAAATTAAGATTCTGGCTATAACTAAGAAAATCACATCCCAGAGGCGCAGCAAGGTGCCAAATTTTTCAATTAGTCGTCAACATAGATAAATTGTTGATACACTGACTTAATCTTGAAAACTAAAAAGAAGTTATATGTTAATTGTGAATATAAACTCATGCCAGATGTCAAAAACATTTTTTATTCACCCAAATTAATCATTTAATTAATTGCCAGTAGCTTCACAATAGCACTCTTGATTAATGGACTTCAACTGAAAGAACTAAAAGAAAACTATTTCTTGGTAAAAATATCCTTTACTCAGTCCTCTCCCTCGGCAGAAATTAAGACTAACATCAATGACTAAGAAAATGCACATCTGAAAGAGGATAATAGTGTACCAGACTTCACAAGTTATAGAGATGCAAGCAACTAGACAGATAGAACTAATTGGAAATCCACACATGAAAGAGGACAGCAAGGTGCCAAACTTTTGAAGTTATAAGTACGACAAATTATTAATTGAAAATAATTAATCAGGAAATTTGAAATTGATGGTCCTATTTGCTAGTTTGATGCAGTACACATTATTTATTCACCAAAATATCATTTACCAAATTAACAATCTCTTTATTTTTCTCAAGACGGGCACCACCTGAGCAGGATTGAAAAAGAAAGAAGGAAAAGCTTGATTCAGTACAAAAAGAGAAATACAGCCCACTGCAAAGTTTTTCAATGTTGTATATGGTCCCTTTTTTTAACTGATAGAAAACAATGTATTGCTCAATGAGAAGATAAAAGTGGTATGTACACGAACCATAAAAGAGAATTAAGAGAAGGATGGATCAATTATAAACTTAAAGCACCTGTATTCCTGATGAAAACTTCTGTTCTTCGGCTGCTGTAAGAAGCCTGGAACTACTGGTAGTTCCTCTTAAGTAACGCAACGGGTCAGAATAATCTATATCCTGCAAAACTCGCTTTTTCCGGGATGTAGAACCAGATTTCACAGACACAATATTAGCTGCCGCCTTCTGTGCTGCTCTAGCTCTTTTGGCTTTTCGCTCAGTTTGACGCTTTGATCTCACTGCTATACTCTTGGACAATTGAGCCTCAAGAAGTTCAAGTTCTTCATGACTAGGCTCCACGTCAGATTCCTTAAGGAGGTAAGAGGCTGAATCATTTTCGCCCAAACCTATTTCAGTAACCTTAGACTCTCTGGCATCCACTCTTTCTGCAAAATAAGCAAGCTGATTCTTCTCCATAAATGAATTGTCCACTTCTGTAGTTTTGCAATCTGATGTGGCAGTACGATTACCGACCATCTTGGCTGCATCTTTTGCGACCTTGACTGCTGCCTTTGCTAAAGCAAGTGCTTCAGCTGCAACTACAACTACAACAGCCTCCTCACTTGTAAGAAGAGTTTCTGTAGCTAAAGTTGCCTGAAAATTCGCCTGAATGCAGATTGAAGTTAATTATGAAGTAAGGATCAAACGACCAAAGCTAGTGCAAGATTTTTTTCTAAACCACAAAAAGCTATTATATTTCTTCTCTTTTCTAAAGCCAAGATGGGGATCAAGAGGGGTGTGTATGGAAATTTGATGATTTGATTGAATAAGCATACTTTTGCAATATGGATACTAGGATGCACTAAAAAGAACATTGTGAAAGATAATGCCAAAACGCTCTTCTGAAATGCAGATAGCTATTTCAACCGTCAATGGAGCTGATGCTTTTTGCCGATTCTTTGCATGAACAACAAAATGCAATAGCCTTTTCCTTTGACAAGACTTCAAGATAATTTACTGAAAGTTTCTGTTATATCAATACAAGCCCCATGGAATAATTTTCCAGCGTTTATTTTTGGTAGCATGTACATTTTTGAACTCTCACCTCAGTGGGTGGACCATCTGCTCCAATATATGTCCATGGTCTGTTTGCAGCAATAGAGTTGGAATGAACATCAAAAGAGGGTAATTTTAGCTTCTCAAATTCAAGCACTGATGTTGTTCCTGTTGGTTTCCAGGATCTGTCAGCAGGAACCGAATTTGACATGGCTTCTAACGATGGTAATTGGAGCTTCTCTAACTCCAGAATGGTAGCAGTTGCGGTAGATAAGATACATTTTGTCTGAAAATAAATAGGATCTCTACTTTTTGCTGCATTAGAGTCAATGATAAAAATTAGATCCAAATTCTACTTGCATTAAGACACCATATTTCATTTGACACTACCCTAGACCACTAGGATGTCCTAAATATTGGGCAGTTCTACAATGAGAAATAATTTAATTTTAGATCATAATTTATTTCTTTCTGATATCGATCGTGAGAATGAATAGAATGACCATTCATATTATTTTGTAGCGTTCAACCACATCCACATAATAGGCGGCTTGTACAGATAAAGATGCATTTGGTTTAAAACAGTCCCTACCCAGAGTCTCAAAAGCAATTAAAAGATAATGTTAGTACATGGAGACATACAAAAGTAACACTAAAGATGGACATTGGCAAATCAGAAAAATTTAAAGGCAAAACATATAAGCTCTATAATGCAGAACGGTGATAGGAACCTGAAATGTTTGAGAAAAGTGAACAGTCAACCTACATATCATGTGATGAACAAATGTGGAGACTGGACTCTGAATGATAAAAAAACTGTGCAGTCAATACCTACAGAAATTTCAATCTAGATTCTCCATTGGTCTAATGAGAGTTTTATTCAGCTATTGAACTTTGGTGTTAGTTTGCACGTGTATGTTGGCGAGGTTGTGATTGTGCTTTTACTTATTTAGCCCCTGTTTGATGGCCATTATTGAGAAAAAATGATGTTTTGAATAGTGATTTTTTGGATAATGTGTGATTAAAAAGTAGGGAAATTGTTGGATTTACATGCAAAAAATTTTATTGTGTGAATGTGTAGTTGAAAAGGAGTATGAGAATTAAAAAATTTAATGTTAAAGGAGACAAAGTTTCATTTACATGTTTATCAGAAACTAAAAGCAAATTATTGAAGGCAAAAGACCCGCTTCCTCATGGACATTACCCCCACCCCAGTGTGAAACGATGTCAATAAATGTTATGGATGTTCTTTCAGATGGCAAGTATAAGAAAAAAGTGCTTTATTCAATATCATTTTAAATACAAAATCGCACGCACTGGCTGCATGCTTAAGATGGTCTTGTCTAGCAAATTCTTTCTACGAAGTTTTGGGAAAATACTCATTTCAGTAGCAACAGTCATGGTTTTGTAGCATTGATAATTGAAAATAATCTAAAAGTCGTTCGAACTTATTCAGCTAAACATCTATCATACTGATTTACCTCATAATAGTTTGTTTGCAGTAATATAAACTCGATGTTACCATCTACTTGTGGGAAGGATAAGGGTAAAAATCTGTTTGGAACTACGGATATTATGGAATGGCTAAGATTTGGGGCGAGAAGTATTACTCGAAAAACTAATTGACACGGGTTATTAAGCTCTAGCTTTTCTAGACAGATTGTTTCATGCGAACACAAATTGACAAAATAAAATAAATCTTGCCACATAACAACCGTAAAAACTTAAAAAAAAAAATCATCTTATCATCGAGTTCACCTGTATGTACACACAACACACACGCATACACACAAACATGATCAATGCAGCACCGAAAAGATTGAAACTTTTCCAAAACCCACAAAATTAAAATTCTATATTTCAATACAAATTCATTAAAAAATGCAAATGCTCGTATCTCTACTTCCCCAAACATGTAACAAAATATAACATTCCGAAGGAGCCAGGGAAGACTTACAGGGGTGGGTGGCGGTATGATTCTGGGATTTGAAGTTAACCAAAAAAGTGTCCGGCAAGCACCTGAATGTTGGCAGCAGACACGACATCCTTCTCCTAAATGTCTAAATAAATACACACAAGCAGATACGTACCTGTAAGCATGCTATTCATACACAAATACAATCTGCTCGTACAACAAATGAGGCATTAAGTAGGTTTCAAAAATCAATGGAGCTAGAGAAGATTTTGAAAAGTAGTGGGGAGAATGCGAGAGAGAAGCCTGAAGAGAGAAGAGTTACGAGTTGCAAGATAGTGATAAATAAATGGATAAGAGAATGCTTTTGCCCAAATAAATGAGGACGAGAGAGGGACAAGCAGCTGCTGCCTCTCGTGGTTTGGGCTTTTTTTTGGTTAACAAGCAGCTGCAACCTCTTGGGGTTTGGGCCTTTTTTGGCTATTAGTAACTTGGTGAATGTTAAGAGCTTGTTTGGTACAAATTTTAATTTAATTAAAATTATTTTTTTATCGTTATTTTACTATTTTAATCGTCATTTTTAAATTTTTCTTTCACAAGTAAGACACACCTTATCTCTAACAGTCAAAAAATCAGTTATCAAAATCTCTATCAAACAAGTACTAAATATAAGTGTATGGTAATTATTGAATGGATATGTACGAAAATCATAGTTATCACATCTGACTCAGATATCAATCCGATCAAGGTACGGGGTCACTAGATTACTGGTTGGACCGATGAATTGGTGGTCGGACCGGTGGGTCATTATCTAAAAATAATTTAATAATTTTTAAAATATAATTTTTTATTTTTTGTTTGAGACAAAATTAAAGTTTTCAAGTTCTTTCTCACTAATTTTTCTATACATTTGAATTAATGATTTTTTGAACTCATTTATCAGTGATAATGGCTAAATTTTGATTTCATAATTTTGTATATTATATTAAAAAAAATATTTTTCCCTTTTTGTGATTTATAAATTATTTATCAGTTATTGACAAAAAATTTGTGTATTATCTATTCAATATATCTTAGTTAAAATTAAATTTTTTTCAAACAAAATAAGTATATAAAATAATTATTTGAAATTACAAAGCGAATGTAAATGTGGACTAATTTCTTTAAAAAAGTCAAATTATTCATATGTTAGATATAATTTATTAAACAAAAGACAATAAAATATTGTTTACACTAGTGATAAGGTTGTGTTCTACTTTCTTAGAGGGCAAGAATTCAAATCTTTGGTACCTACAATTTCAATGTAAGAGAGTTTTGAAATTTGGTTTAAAAATCAATCGAGTCGAACCTAACTGAACTGGCATGAAAATTATTCAAAAATCACCTATTGGCCCGGAATTTGATCGGGCCACTTGCATTTAGATAAAAATAAGCTGGCCAGCCCGGTCAAGGGCCCGATTCACCAGTTTACCGAGCCGGGGCGATTTTAATAACTATGACGAAAATAGTATATATAAATTGAAATTGAATAAAGCGCAGACATTCAAGTAGAAATAAAAGAGATGTAAGTGTTTGAGAATAAAAAATGAATTTTATATTTGTGTTAAAAGGTTTTTTGTTGTTTAATGGAAGTTTATAGAATATGAATCTTTATAATGTTCTCCAAACGAATGTCATGGCCCAACAAAGATGTGATAGTTTGGAAGAAGACGAAAGTCATGGTCCAAGGAAGGTGTGATCATTTGGAAGAAACGGTGCTTTACATCCATTGTATGAAATATGAAAGAGTTAAAGAGATTGTTTAAAATTAAACAATCAAAACTTACCTGAAATCTGTATGTATATGACAGATGAATTGATAATGAAATTAGTATGTACATGAAAGATGAATTGATAATATAATCAATTAAGAGATATACTTCAATACAAGTAAAGAAGAAAGCAGATGGAATTAGAATTAGAAATTTCACGAATAAATTAACAACGAATATCCAGTGATGAATTTTTAGTACATAGGAAAAGATATTTGTTTCATAGAAAAGATAAAAATGAAATTTAATAGTTCATTGACAGGTCAGAGTTCCATCAGTGTGGCCTTTTTTAAACACCATAAACATTGAGAGTTCATTATTTTGTAGTTTAAAGATATGTGTCACCTATTTTTAATTATTTCTCTCTAACATAATCTGTCCAACCTATGATGAGACATCGTATTACACCATTTGGTCTTAAGTTTGTAGTAACATTCCAATTGCGACGTGAAGAGTAGTGGATTTGAACATTGTGTACAAATTTTGACAAATGGTGTCTAGCAAACCTTCCATGTATATACTTTAAAGTAAAATGATAAATCAATGAATTATTGAATTTGAAATTATGTGGAAAAGTGAATATAGAATGACATTTTATACATTTAAGTAGAGAAAGATACAAATGATAAATAATTTAAGTTAAAGAGAACCTTACAATTTTTCGATAACCATCATGATTAGTTGTTAATGTTACTTCAAATATAGAATTACCCGTGTGTGAAGTGTTTTGTTCAAAAATATCAAAGTCATATGTTACCTCTAACCCTGAATAATTGAATATTGTAACGTTGAATGTAGAATTCCCATTATATTCAAACACAAGAAGAATCATCTTGTAAGTTATGATGATCAAAAAACTGTTCCTGCCCACCAGCTAAATATATCTTTTTATCAACTCTTTCCAATAATATGTTAGCAATCATACTATCATATCCAATCGAACATGTTATATCAATAAGTTGATGTCATGAGTGATTCACAAAGGATCTAGGAAGCATCTATATAAGAAAAATATAAGTATGACATTTAATCATTTCTTCACTTATATATATTTTTAAAAGTTTTTAATAAATGTGAAAGAATGAACTATTATTATATGACTAACTAGATGAATGTTATGGTTCAACGAATGAGTGATAATTCAAAAGAAATGGTATGGTACATCCATTTCGTCTGACATGATAATTATACTGCAACGATAATGAGTAAATGTACTTATTAAATCGTTAGAAGCAATGAAGAATAATATTTGTTTTTCCATATGCACTAGTGTTTTACATTAAAGTAAATGTTTTAAGTAATAGACTTTAAATGTAAGTGGATTAGAAAGTTTGCCAATTGAAATACTTTTGACACATTTGTAGTTAATAATTTTTTTGTGATCTTTTAATTTAGTATGATTTCGATTTTTATTGATAATTTGTTTTGTTTTGTTACTATATTTGTCCATATTTTGAATTATTTTGTGTTTTGAGGTTTCAATTCTTCATATTCCTTTTCTATCTTTTATCAAGTTGTTTTCACCTTTTAGATTCACGAGTATCTAAATGGCTTCATTTAGTTATACTAATTAGCACAAGATAATGATCTTGTGCTTGGTTCGTAGTGTGATGTTCAAAATTGTTATAAATTTTTCCTTGATTGTTATGCATCCATCCATCATTAGATGCTTATAGTCCTCGACTCCTCTTTTTTTTTTTTTTTTAATATTGTTGGAATGTTGACCTTAAGATGTGTTCATTGATTCAACTAAAGTGGTTAAGGTGAATATCATTTGTTCTTGATGCTTGAAACATCATGTGATAGTTTCGAGATTGTTGCTGGCCTTTTTTTTCACCTGCATCTCAAAAAGGTTTTCACATCATTTTAAGGATATTGGAGTTTTCTTATTTTGTTTAGAATTTTGTGGCTGATGTTTCTTGTCTTTTCTTTAATTGATTGATCAGACACAGCTGAAATAGTCAAATATTATCAAGAATGATATTCACAAAATGTTTCAAGACACCATCAATCTATGTCAGAAGAAGAAACTTGGCAACCTATTTAACAAAATAGATTTATCATTCAAGTTGGTTCTTTGTGTGCCTTCACTGATGTCAGTTATGCCTGCAATGGTGATAATATTCAGTAACAAGTCAATCTTCTACTTGAGCTTGGAATGGGTTTCTCAATACTATTTGATGGAATCCACGAGGGAAGCGTATCCTTGAAAAGAATAATGAAATATTCTACTTCACCTTGTGTTCTCTTCTCTTTTTATTTAAGTTCAATAGCTTGTTTCATTTTGGGAAATGGGTAGCGTGTCAAGATTGTTGGTTAAATTTTGTTTTAATAGTCATTGTTTTGTGTCCTTAATAATGTGGTATGCAATTATATGTGTGACAGGCATTGGAACCTTGTGACATTATACGTTTAATTGTTTTCTTCCATATTGTGATATTATGGTAGTTTCTTTTAAATTGTGCACTTCAATATTGTCCATTCATATCAATAGATTTTATTCAAATTATTTATTATTTATTCCTTTTTTTTTTTTATTTCAATTGATGCTTGAATTGCATGTTAGCATCAATTTTCGTTATTTGGTCTTTATGATTCTTGAGAACATGTATATTTAATTCTGAGTTTTTGTTTGGTTTCTTGCTGCTTTAAGGACTCTAATCCTTACAAAATTTGACCTTCCTACTGTTTCATCTATTTTTCAGGCTTTGTTGCAGTTTTAAAATTCAAAGGCAGCTTATACTAGGAAGGATGCTGTTGATGGAGGAAGCATTACTAGGTGATTCGGGCTTTATATTTTGGCTTAGGATGTACCTCAAACTGCAACAGATCATATGTTTATAGATGTGATGCACATGCATTAGTTCGGGAGTCTTTATGAATCTGCTAAAGGGGTGTTTCTTACTCCACCTTACCTCTGCATTCTTCAGTTATTACAAGTCGCCT